CAAAGTTTCACATAAGTCCAAATGATATCCACTGTCGAGAATTAAACGATACGTCCCAACAGCTTCCACCAGAACTTTCACTCTATTGCCCATAAAGACAAACTTTTCATTTGGCCTTGTGGATTTTAGAAGAAGAGACCTCATTCACTTTAAGGGGTCCTCCTCCTCCTCCTTTCTTCTCATGCATCTTACCTTTATACTTTTCAGCTTCTTGATGCTTTACATAATTGACAGAATGATTTTAATAACATGCTCAATGATTTTAATTTTGCCGCAATGCTTGTCATTTCAATAACATGCTCATGCATAGTACGCGAACCATCAAACTTCATGGTGGTCAGTGTACTCATAAGTGTCCCAACAAGAGACTTATCAGCGGTTTGGGAGCGCTCTTCCACAAGTTTCATCATTTCGATGGTACTTTCAGTTTGTGGAAGAGCTGACTTAATGCTTTGAGTCATACATGTCACATACTGACATACTTCACAGATTCAACTATACTAACTTCAATGCATAGATTCAACTATACTAACTTCAATGCATATTAATGTTCGCCTTTGGGGATCCATTAACATACAACATTAACTATAATGATGCTATATAAATTTCATATAATTTGGCAATGATGCATACCCCTATCATAATTATTTGTCATCTTTGGATGTCCAAATGTGAGGAAATATGTCAACAATACCAACATCCATGTTCATTTTATAAAACAAATAATCAACCTTTGGGTTGATCCCTAACTGTTCTATAATAATGAACTTCAATATACCACAACTTGAATAATTATATCATACTATTCACAGCATCACAGTCATGGTAATTGAAATAAAATTCATAATATTTGGAATTAAAATAACTCTTCAAGATTTGGCCACTTTGGTGACTAACAAATCTACCATAATTAATTCCAAAACTTTAATATTTCATAAACAATAATAGGATTACATTTTCACATTTAATTTTAATCCAACCACATCACATAATCATTTAAATCAATATGAAAACCAGGAAGTAAAGTAATCATGATGCACGGTTAATTGATTCAAGAATATTATGAAATCAACAGTAACGCACGATTACCGAAAAGTCACATCCAAATCAACATGAAATAGCGATCTGTGTATAAAACTTGAATGTTGATCGTGAATTGTCAAAGGCTATTCCATGATTGTAAATTTCAAAGGCTTTGTCCATTAACACAAAAACCGAGACATTTATCCAGTATCCATTCATACAAGTAGCGATTCATACAAGTAGCCATTCACCATTCAATTCGTTTTGTCCTTTTGTGTATTACAAAATCAAATCAAAATTTTGCTTCAGAACACAGAATCGAAAATGGAACGGCGCTCACAATTCTATTCAAAAGCTATTCCTTTTCTTTAATAATTTTCATATTTACGTTTTCCAAAAATCACACAGTACCTTTAAAAAACCGATTAATAGATATGAAAACCTTTGTATCTTTTTGGTTTCGTTACTGTATGCGTTAAATAAATTTTAGAAACCCTAATTTTTCAAAATCAAGAATCCATCATAATCATACATGGAAAACCATAAATTCTTAAACACACGCTCTGATACCACGTGTTTTGCCGCAAAGATTATTCATCAGTAAGCTATTCATCAGTAATTCATTAATACATGTTCAACAATGATCATTCAAGAACATGATACAGGATCTTTAGAATTCATGATTTTCACATAAGAGCGTACCTTTCTCCATTAGTGCGGAAGAACTCTGATGAAGAACTTTAATGATGGAAGATTGTTTCTCAGAGTCTTTACCCTCTGCTTTCCTTGTATCGTTTATGACAGGGATCTGATACAGCTTTTATGGGCAGACCATGAAGGAGAGAATTCTGAGAGATTATCATTGTCAGAGACTCACCACTTTTCACTTTATATAACTGAACCATGTCACCAGTTACAGAATTTCAATTAACTCCGTGTAACTTCCCATTAATGCGAAACGTCAAAACGTCAATTACCATTAATGCGAAACGTTACCATAATGCAAAACGTTAAAACGTCAATTATCATTAATGTGAAACGTTGCCATAATGCAAAACGTCAAAACGTCAATTACCATTAATGCGAAACGTCAATTACCATAAAGCCTCTTTTATTATTTAATTAAACCGATTGACACACGTTACACATGAGACACAAATAGTTTTACAGAGAAATTTCAAGAAATCCTAGGTAGGGGTGAAACTGGGCCGGCCCGGCCTACAGGGGCCTAACGGGCCAAGCCAGACCATTTGTTTTTTTATAAACGGACAAAGTCAGGTTAACAGTTATACTCATACTAGGCTTGGGCTAGTCCAAATTAAAATTTTTTGGCGTAGGCTTGGACTTTTCGGGGCAAAGCTTGGCCCAGCTTAGCCCACTTTCACCCCTAATCCTAGGCGTTAAAGTGAGATTGTAAGAGAGATATCATATTTATATTTCTCATTAAAAAATCTCACGAAATTCACATCAATAAAAAATTCATTAAAATCGTCAGCTTTTTGAATACCAATTATTTTTCTTTTGTTTAAAATTCTGATTGAATACCAATGGATTTGTACGGATTCTAAAACAATCTTTTAAAATTCTAATCGAATACCACGTGACTTTTTTTTTAATCCTTTAAAATCTTAATTGAATACCAATAGATTTTTTTTTGTCTAAAAATAATCCTTTGAAATCTCAATCTAATACTCCCCTGTATAAAGAAATTTAAATTAGGAAAGAAAAAGAAGAATAATAACAAATAAAAACCCATTATTAATTTTAACAATCATAATATTAATAGCTTTGAACAAAATATCCTGGGAATACTTAAGAATTAGGATAGAATACACCGCAGACCCAACCATAAAAAAATTATTATTTTAAAAACATTTTACCAGAAAAAAACATAAAAAAGTAATTCATTAAAATGAGGTGATTTTGGCTATGAGTAATGTTGTCAAACTCGAGTTTCTACGTAGAAACGAAAAGGATTGGTAGAAACGTAAAACGTAGAAACGATACGAAACGTAAAGTTTATACTTTTTACTACTTAAAGTCAAGATACAAAATTATATATATATGCATGTAAAAAAAATTCATATAATGAACATGTGTGTTGAGCCACTTATCTATCTTAAAAAGAATTTTTTTTTGATAACCAAGTATCAAAATTATAAACAGTGATAACTAACAAGTAACAAGTAATGGATAACCAATCTTCTCTAATTGTTTCATACACTCTGCAGATTTTGGATCATTACTCATCAGGATATAATTACACTTCTTTCAATGCACACAATGATCCAAAAATACAAAATGATTCTCATAGCATAACTTATAATATAATTGCAGCTTTACAAATATAATTATAAAAGACATATATATATATATCCAAACAAAAAGATATTAAGATATTGTGAATGTAATTTGGAAAAAACGAAAATTGAGTTTTTTTTAATTTTTTTTTTGTAAATCTTTTTTTTTTAAAAAAATTGTTTTAAATAAAAACGGTCAAAATTGTAAAAACGTTAGTTTTTACGTTTTACAAGGTATTTTTACCAACTTTTACTAAAAGTAATTTTTACTTGCATTTTAACATACACCACACGTTAGTAAAAACATAAATTACTAATTTTTGAGAAGAATGGCTATGAGTATTGTTTGGGATACAAAACGTTAATCACATGGTGTAGTTCAAAGAGCCACATCCACGTGGACTGACGCAACACAATATCCCATGGTAGTATTTAATAAAAAGGCTCATCGATGGTTAAATTAAAAGTTGATTTTTTTTTCAAGTTTTTAAATTAAAGTATTTTTCATTTTATGTGTATATTCGGATACATATTTTTTTAAAAAAAAAGAATCAAAAGTAAAAAAATTTAAAATGACGATTTTTTAAGTTAAGATTACTGGCTTTTAAAAAAAAGTTGTATATTATTTTTTATTTAAAATAATTTTATTAAAAAATTTACTTTTAGATATTAATTTCTTTTAAAAGACTTTTGAATTTTTTTTTAAAAGTAATAATACTTACTCTCTTTTTTTCAAAAGTTTGTTTGAACCAGCCCTTTACTTGATGGCTGATGAGCAATGAACTCTCCGTTTTTTTATTTCTTGTGGAAAAATGAACTTGTTATTTCCAAAGCATGTCGAATAATAAGTTTGTTAGCCCCAAGGCATTAATTTAATCCAAGTAAATTTATCTTCTACGGGTAGAGTTCATAATTTTTTTTTTCTTTTTAATTGGACCCACATATATTTTATATACTTTAATGTGTATAGAATATAAATTTATTTTATACAATATAACAAATATTAAACCTTAATTATAAATTAAAACCAATATTATACCTGATAAACATCATGACCCAATGTGTGCGGCACGCCCTATGGAACATATGGCGCTTTTATATATTGACGCTATGAAGTGACATTGAAATAATGCTAACATGCCTTACTTGGCGCTATTATATAGTGACATCTTGTCCATCTAATCTTGGTGCTATCATATAAAAAGGTTTTTTTTTTAATAAGTATTTAAAAGTGTTTTTTAAATAATATAAATTTAATTATTATTATTTTCAATCAAAACACAGCTCAGGCCCTGGTGTCAGTTAGTTACAAAGTCAAGACGCTGAAACAAGTCACATTGAGGTTTCCGCTAATAAACCATTTCTCTGCTTTGACCGCCACCTAATGTCCCTCTCTCTCTCGCTTTCTCTCTCTTTTTTTTTTTTTTTTTTTTTTAAATATTCTCTCCGTTCATCGCTTCGCGATTAGTCTGATTCTAGGCGGGTCCAAGATTAAGGCTTTAAACCACTCTCAAAGATGGTACTGAGGAGATTCGAACACATACCCTTATCCCACCACCTGCTCAGCTCCCATGCACCAACTGAGCTACCACCGTTTGGTTCTTTCTCTCTCTTTCTAAACCCTTTTTATTTTCCCCTTTGGATTCAAAGTCTGTGCCTTTCGTTTCTGCAACCACCCATTCTCAACGGTTGCGTCCATCACTCCCTCTCTTCTTCCCTCACTCGCAGCCTCCACCACAAACGAACGCATGCAGAGGCAACAATAGAGAGCGAGATAGAGAGAGAGAGAGAGTGCGTACGTGTGTGTCTGTCTCTGTGGCACAGGTATCATAACTCAGGTTGCAGACAAACAAATCAGCACCTTTTCCAACATACGCCTTCATTGTACTACGTGGTTCTTTTTATATATGTCGTGGTTGTAGCTGTGACAGTTGTGTAGTGTATCAACCCTTTCTCTTCTCACTTCTTCCCCTCACTCACTCATCCATTCACCCCATTAATTCCCTTAATAAAAGATCAAATTTTTCATCGTTCATTCAGATCCGTTTCATCCCCCTGTTTCAAAAACTAAACCCATTTTCCGAATCTAAAACAAAAACCCAGCATGAGTTCCGACGATGGTGTTCAGATCCACCAGAGTCGGAGGTTGCCGGATTTTCTGCAGAGTGTGAATCTGAAGTATGTGAAACTAGGGTACCATTATTTGATAACCCATCTTTTGAAACTATGCTTGATCCCTCTCATATCCATCATCTTGATTCAAGCATCTCAGATGAACCCTGAAGACATTCACATGCTCTGGCTCCACCTTCAGTACAACCTCGTCATCGTCATCATCTGTTCCGCAATCCTCGTTTTCGGATCCACCGTATACATCATGTCACGGCCAAGATCCGTTTACCTTGTGAACTTCTCCTGCTACAAACCCCCTTCTCATCTCAAAGTCAAATTCTCCGAATTCATGGAACATTCAATTCTCACAGGGGACTTTGATGAGTCTTCTCTCCAATTTCAGCGCAAGATTCTAGAACGTTCTGGTCTTGGCGAAGAGACCTATGCCCCTGAAGCCATGCATAGCATTCCACCAACGCCATCCATGGGTGCTGCAAGGGAAGAGGCAGAGCAGGTGATGTTTGGTGCACTTGATAACCTCTTTGCAAATACCAAGATCAAACCCAAGGACATTGGAATCCTTGTTGTTAATTGCAGCTTGTTCAATCCAACCCCTTCTCTTTCTGCTATGATAGTGAACAAGTACAAGCTGAGGGGTAATATAAGGAGCTTCAACTTGGGGGGTATGGGTTGCAGTGCTGGTGTTATAGCAATTGATCTTGCTAAGGATATGCTTCAGGTTCATAGGAACACTTATGCTGTGGTGGTTAGCACTGAGAACATTACTCAAAATTGGTACTTTGGGAATAAGAAGTCCATGTTGATACCCAATTGTTTGTTTCGCGTTGGTGGGTCTGCGGTTCTGCTTTCTAACAAGGCTTCTGATAGAAGACTAGCCAAGTACAAGCTTGTTCATGTTGTGAGGACTCACAAAGGTGCAGATGATAAGGCATTCAAGTGTGTTTATCAGGAGCAGGATGATGCTGGGAAAACGGGTGTTTCATTGTCAAAGGATCTCATGGCTATTGCTGGTGGAGCTCTTAAGACTAACATCACAACTTTGGGTCCCCTTGTATTGCCCATAAGCGAGCAACTTCTCTTCTTTGCTACTTTGGTCTGCAAGAAGCTATTCAATGCAAAAATGAAGCCTTATATCCCTGATTTCAAGCTTGCTTTTGATCATTTCTGCATACATGCTGGTGGCAGGGCTGTGATCGATGAGCTTGAGAAGAACCTGCAGCTTCTGCCTGAGCACGTGGAAGCATCTAGAATGACTTTACACAGGTTTGGGAACACTTCCTCCAGTTCAATTTGGTATGAGTTGGCTTACATAGAAGCAAAGGGAAGGATGAGGAAGGGAAACCGAGTCTGGCATATTGCATTTGGGAGTGGGTTCAAGTGTAACAGTGCAGTGTGGGAGGCCTTGAAACATGTGACGCCCTCACCCAAGTGTCCATGGGAAGATTGCATTGACATGTACCCAGTTAAGATTGTTACATAGTTCTATTATGAGTTAGATGGTCTTGCTTCGTCTGAAATAGGTATGTATCTTCTTTTTATTTCTTAGTTTATTAGCTCAGGGATGTCTGTGTTTGATACTTAGAAGTCACAGTTACTTAATCCATATTGGGTTGCTTGAGCTCTGAACCCTGACTATTAGCTGTAAAATCATTTCCTTGGGTCTTTATTATGCAGAGTAGTCTTACATAATTTGAGCATCCGTTTTCATTCAAATAAATATATTATGCATAGAAGCAACATATCTAATTGAAAAAAGAAAGAAACAAACAAAGAAGAGAAACTGCAAATCTAATTATTTTAATTTGGTTACAGCTTTGTTAAGACTTGCTTGCCATAAACAGAACTTTTTGGAACTTTAATGCATAAAGCTGCATATTGTGCAGATAAGAAAAGTTAGATGAACAGTACTGCCAATTCATTAGAGCATCAATATCTTTTTCCAAATGAGCATAATGAAAAAGCAAGAAGCAGCTAGAGAAAGTATTTAAAGTATCTTATTCCAACATGTTAACTATGAATTTCTCTGATACATTCTAGATGCTGTATGAAAAAAGCACATGGCCAGCCTTTGCAAGCAGTCCCTTTTTAATAGAAAATCCTAGTCTTGTCTTTTGAGTGCAGCGCTTTGTGCGTTCTACCACACATAGTGTTTTACATGCTTTTAGGCCGTACCAAACGGGTATCATGTTCTTGTGCTCCCCTTACTTCTGTCCTTTGGGTTTACATTTGTTGATCTAAGCCAGAGTGGTTTATCTTTGGTCAAATCCGAGATAGTATTGAATGTGAGTTATAATCGATGTTATTATTGAGGGACTTTGAAAGTCTCCTTAATTGATTATTGAGTGGATGGATAATTTGATGCCTTAAATATATAATTTATTTTGCCTCCCCTAAGATTCAAACCCCTTAAATCAATAATTTGCATCTACATTTAGTCCTGAAAATCCCTCAAGTGGTAACTTAAATCTTCAATTTTATGTCACTTAATTCCTTCTGTAAGCCTGTCTAGCTAGAAGAATAAACAATGTTAGTTTTGTTTGGATAACTTGTTTCTTTCTTTATTGGTACCTCCAATGTCTGAGTTGGAACGGAAATTCTTCAATTGTGTTGTTAATATTGTGACCAAATTTCCTAGCGGTGTTTTTCATGACCTCTTGTCCTGTCCCATCTAGAAGCATAAAAAAATTCAATGCTTTAAATTGATGTAGGGCCCGATACATTCGAAGTTCAAACTATAGGCAAGGGCCCGATAGGTTCGAAGTTTCAAGGCCGGTACAATTTGAAGTTTCAAACTATGGGCAAGAAAACCACGTTAGTGCAATTTACGTCTGACATGAATTTAATACAAATATAAATATATTTAGAGATATGTTATCTTCTTACTTTTTTTTCGGTGCGATATTGTACCGACACGGAATATGATACGACGTGATATTCTGATATATTAATTTTAAAAAATATTAAATTTTAATATGTTAGGATATGTTTTGATATTAAATAATATTTTTAATTTATGTAATGTATATTACATTTAATATTCAATAACTTAAAAAAAACAAAGTTAAACTTATAATAACTATCAATTTTGCAAAGAAACATAAGATATCACAAATATTTATATTAAACTCAATAAAATAGTAATTGTAATTCAACGCATCTAATAGTTGAAACTAAAATGCAACGCAATGCATTCTTTGAACCTTTTTTTAAGTCTTTGCAACGCGTGTTGGAGTGTCGGGAAGTGTCAATGACACATCAGGTTTTTTAAGAAGTGTTGGTGCATCATAGGAAACTTACTTTACCTATCACTTTCTAACACCGTTTGATCTAAATCTCAACTAATTTTTATTATTTCTTTCTCCTTTTGAGATTCTAATCTAATGATGTTAGAGAGTGATAGATAAGATAGGTATGAAAAAAAGATAGGTAGAAATGTAGAATAACATATTCCATATACTGAATACAAATGTGATACAAATCAAAAAATAGGCCAGATGCAATTAATGCTTGAGGTGACATAACACGGCAAAAATAAAAATATATTTAATTCGAATGCGATACGAATTAAAAAAATGAGTCAAAATTTTCACGAGTACAATTTACTTATTTCGCGAGTTAACAAAATATAACACAAATAATTCATAAACTTCAAAGTGTGTCAAGTTGACGCGACACAATACAATATAAATAATCTGTCAATTTCAAAGTGTATCATTTATTATATAAGTTGGCATGATGCAATAAACACAATATGATATAAATAACATGTAACAAGATAAAAATGAGTCAATTTCATGTTTGTTAGTCGACATATAACACAACATAAATTTAAAAATGGTTGATTCTAATATGAATTTTTCATATCATGTTCGTATTGTGTTGAAAATTATTGTTCTTACTCTCATTATATAAGCCAACTAATCAAGCTAACAAGTACAAAATATACACACATGACACACGTATGCTCAAACGTGCACACACACATGAAAACTAAATTACAAGTATAAATTTTGGGAAATATAAGAATTACGTTGTAGGACATATTGCAACAAAAGAATAATTATGTATTACGAGTAGTAAATAGTTATAAGGGGTATGATTTTTTTTAATATTATAATTATCTACTGCCCGTAGTACATAGTTATAAGGAATATAAAAAAATAACTATATACTACCCGTAGTATATAGTTATCTTTTTGCAAGACATCATGCGACAAGATATCCGATGGATCCATAAATTTTGTGCACAAAGGAACATTGCTATATGCACAACCATTCATGCTCACGTGCATACACGAACGAAAAAGACCTAAATTAAAAAAAAAAAATATCATGCAAGAAGATTAATATATGTTAATTTTATGTTTGTGGATTGACATATAACACATATAGAGCACTTTGGTCACTGTTCCCCCTTCATGAGAGGTATGATTAATTTAATGTTCATTAAAGGGAAGATGCATAAATAGGAGACTGAAATATACATATAGTAGTGGTTTGATTAGGGTAGATAATTTCGATTATCAGGAAGCACCCCATAGAATATTCTAGCATCACATCTTGCTTTTCTTAACTTGTTTGATATATTAACCAAATCATTTGAGACATGACTACTACTAACCAATTCTGATTTAGCGAAAGAATTGATTAACTCGGGCTACTATTTTGTAATAGCTTCTACAATATCATATTTTACAATGGTTATTCAACCACAACTTGGCTTGGTAAATATTGTTTAGCTTGCTTGTTACATGCAGTGTTTTAAAACTCCACTCCATCTTCCGGGTTGACTTGGGTCAATCCTGACCCCTTCCCTTTGAGGGTTAGGGTCACAAGTTAGACCTTATATGCACATCGACTTCTCTGACCCCCAAAACTCAGCCGGATTTCAGTGACTCTCGAGTCAGAGGGGTCGAAGGGGGTCATTGCATGTTTTCTTATTTTAATTTTTTTTTTCCATGAAACAACATTGTTTTATTAAAAAAATAAAATAAAAATACTTGCAAACCTAAAACTTATCGTTCTATTCTTTCCAAGCGACTTAGACGTCTTCAATCTTCACCTCGCTGCCATAAATCTTCTAGAAAAGATAAAAATTTACCCATTCAAATGAAATCTTTATGGTCGTCGATAAAAAATAAAAACTCATTCTTACTTCCTTTAAATTTTTCTTTGTTAGAGACCTTCTCAAAAGAGGCAGAACCGGATCAGCGTAGTGATCCCATTAATTTGTGGTTGTAATTGGTGAATTATGTTAAATATATTTTGAATCTTTGATGATTGGTGGTTTATTTTTTAATATTTTCATATAGGATATATATATTTATATATTTTTAATATATAAAATCAGGTCAGCGTAGTGACCCCGTGACCCCCCGGTTGAACCCGTGACCCCATGACTCCTGATCTCGGCCGGGTTGATGGCCGGACCAGGTTTTTAAACACTCGTTACATGTAATTAGAAGCAAGAAGAAAATTCCTTTTTTTCTATAGCTAGCTACTTAGAAACAAGCAGCTCATGGAAATGACGTGGCTAAAGGGTTTCCAATTATTTTTATCCCATAATACAAATGTTACTTATGGATTTGGTTGCTTTTTTGGCATCTCCTAGCAGTTTCCTCTTTTGGATTGTTGTTTTTCAGTGGTGCTGAAGGAAATTATTTGGATGAGTGAAGGCAATTATGAAATAAACCGAACATAGCAGACAAAGAGCAAAAATTAAAAAAATAAATTGATGAGAAATGGTATTTATAGAACACATTTTTTTGGTGTATGTAGTCATTCTTTGAATTTATACGAGCTTTTTATAATCACTGTGACCTTACGTAATCTCCACATAAAATTTGACATATATTATTTTTTTCAAATTAGCCTTGACAACTATTAAATGTCAGTTTTTTTTTTTTTTTTTTTTTAGTTTAGTAAGAAAGACACACAAGAAAGATTTTACCAGCAAGAGAGTTCTAGGTTATGGTTTAAATAATTTAATTGGATAATTTATATGTGAATCATATAATATTCGTTGCTCAGATATAAAAAAAAAGAATTATTTCAACCGTTCAGTTGCCATTTGGTCTTTACTCTTTTTGGGCATTTACTTTGGGGTGGTACTCGCTAATATCTTTGGATCAAGAGTTTAATTGATATATGATTCCTAGGACTATGACAAAGGTGTAGTCGAAGGCGCTGTAATGGTTGCGGATCCACTGTTATTCGTGAATGTTGGGCTGGGCTTCTTTCGAATTTAATAAACACATCATTTTGTTTTTTTTCATTCCCCTTTATGGATCAGCTGTGTAAGTATAACAATAATTTTTAAGACTGATAATCAACGTGGGCTCAAAATCTGTGTGATGGTGTCTCATTTAATTTAAACTAACAGGCAATTTTATTTTATTTTTTTAGTTTTTTAAAAAAATAAAATTTGCCGGTTAGTTTTGCATGTCTTTTTTTTTTAGTCCTCAATGATAAGTATTCCTTTGAGACTGTTAATATCCTTAGGAGTAACTTTGCTTTTTAATACTGACTTATTTTGTTCCTTAAAACAAATTTCTACCAAAAGACTGGACCACAGCCTCCACAAGGTTGCTAACTTAATTTCTCAAATTATAAGCATTATTCATAATCTTATTCTTATAGACAGTAACTCCTTTGTATTTGGTTTTATAATGTTCTATCTTAAACTGAATTGAATATCGGATTAGCTTTGCAGGTACTCTAAACATAAGGTTTACACGATGACGGAGCAGGGCTGCGTTTGTTTGATTTGTACGAGAGAATATGAATGAGATAGGTACTATTGCGTACTAAGCTACAAAATCAAGCCACATTTCACATCTTATTTTCAGGATAGAATATTGTAACAACTAATTACCAAATGTTACTGCAAATCAATTTCATCGTTAGATCGATTATGTAGATCCAATGATTATATTTATTTCCATCTTCTCTTATAGGATATCTTGTTTGGTCATTTACTAACCGATCTCTTTTTTTTTTTTTTTTTTTTTAATGTATGTTTTCGCTAATTACATTTATTAATCCTTTTAAAGGGTTTATAAAAGCGCGGGTTGGATGGGGATAAAATCCTGGTGAAGAAGCTGATATTGTTTCTAGAATAGGATAATTCATTGAAAATTTGAAATGATCTAAATTACAATGGCAGGAAATGGAACAGACAGAGACCCCAATACGTAGAAAGATGAAGATATTTCTGCAGATTGACGGTGCATCACGTACGTGCAGTGAATAGCTGATAATAACTCCGGCATTGCTTCAAATCAATTCAGCTTAAGATATTTCAGAAACCTGGGAAAACCAAATGATTAAAATAAAATGAAATTATGTGTGTGTTCAAGTATATATTAAAGTATGACAAGAACATAAAATAGTGATAAATTTCACAGTGCAGAAGACAAGGCTCACGGCTTAGTCAATTTAGTGTCAAAAATTGACCACGTGATATGTCCAAGTCAGAGGGACTCAACCGTTTGATTGTGATAGAAGTTTTAGGTCCTTGTTTTTATTATGCTCTTTCATTAGGTCCAAGTTACTAGCAGATGTTTTGTCATGGTACTTATCATTTGGAGATGCTATCTCAATGTGAATATATTCTCCACAGTTAAGGAAAAGCAATATTATTGTTACGAATAGTAAAGAATATCTTTCAATAAATATGAAAAATTTTGACTCTCGGATGAGGGGAATTTTTGAACTTGCATAGTTTCAATATACAGGGATTTATATATTACATCATTTGCATCAGTGTAACGCTCTATGCCACAAATTTCAAAAGCAGTTTGACATAAAATGTTCAGAGTGAAAGCAGTTTGACATAATTTCAAAAGCATATGCTAGTCTGTCAAATTAAAAAGCTAACTAAAAATCTTTGAGTGTAGAGTTTTAAATTTGAAATTTATGGCTCATAACAGTGTAACGTTCTATGCCACAAATTTCAAAAGCAGTTTGACATAAAAGGTTCAGAGTGAAAGCAGTTATACCTAATTGCATATGCTAGTCTGTCAAATTAAAAAGCTAACTAAAAAACTTGAGCGTAGAGTTTTGAATTTGAAATTTATGGCTCATAACAAGTAATGTGAATGTCTCATTGGTGCTAGAAAATGTTGCTTTAGTACCATATAATTTGCCCCTCCCCTCATACAATCTAATCTCCTGGACTGGTGGTAAAGCAACCCATTAACAAAGCTATGTATATAAACATTAAATTGAAAAAAATGTTACTGGTTTTAGTTAGTGGTCTCTTTTTCTTGTTGTGTAGTAACCCAGTTGCAGGGCAATGCTGCAGCTCCATTTTTACACTAGCGGTGAAACCTTTTTGTATCAAGTTGTAATGATTTTTTATCTGTATTCAGGACTATAACTTCATCGTAGGTCAACCTCTTTTGACTCACATTGGACTTTACATATAAAGTATAGCTATTAAAGAAGGACAAAGAATGAAATAATGCATGTATGAGAAGGATTAGAATTTAGAAGGCACAGTAAGATGGTAGGAAGGAAATAAAGTTTTTGTTAGGAAGCATTGCCATTACCTCTCTTCTTCATCAACATTGTTGCTGCTTACTTTGGACTTGTATTTGGGAATGGGAACACGGCCAGATTCTATGTGTCTCAGATCCTCCAAGAGGATTTCATAGTGTCTCTTAACCTCTTCTGCAGATTTGCCACCAACTGCTTTAGCTACATTCTGCCAGCGATCTGGGGTATCGATATCATATTTTGCAAGTGCTTTCTCAAACAGTTTATTCTGTTTTGGCGTCCAAGAGGAGTCAGAAGGCTTTTGTTTGATGAGAGAGCTTGAGGCCATAAGTAATATATTTTCTTCTCCCAGTATGTAAACTTGTTGGATGGTAAGAACTTAAGAGGGACAGTAATTTTGTAAGAAAAGTAAGAGAAAGATTAATTGTAAGGAGTAAAGAAGAAGGAGATTTTAGTTGAAGGGAAAGCTTGTGTAAGAAAATGCAGCTGGTGCTCTGCTTATATATTGTTCAGGATAGTGACTTGTGGCTAATTAGGGAATCTGAATTGCCAAAAAAGTCTTGTGACCTGTCTACTTTGGAACATCTAAATGAAGCAGGATGATTTGATTTGGTGAGCTACAGCATACAGCAAGAGATGGGAATAATGAATCTGGTTCCAAAGCAGACTTGATTAGCTTGATAGTTGCATATTTGGTGAAAAAACTTTTTTAATGTATAGAAATTTTACAAACTTAGCTTCAATTTGTGTCAGGTTATATTTACAAACTTTTTGTTTACAAATTCTTATAAATTTGTCTATATACATCAGGGACCAGAGTACATAGGTAAGTTTGTAAAAATTTGTAAATATAACATTTCTCGATATTTTATATATAATCAACTTGTAAGAATCAAAATGACTTGAAGTCAGGTGAGCATCAGGGTTGTATAGACTGACAGGATTTATGCTGGAACTAATAATTTTTTTTAACTGTGTGACATTGTTTAATTAAGCATCAAGTAAGGAGAACCATCTTTTAGCTCTGAAGCTGAAAGAAAAAGAAAATCATAAATATCTGTAGTTAAGACTTAAGCCACATAGGAGGAAGAAAACAAAAGAATCATAAAATATGTGATGAAGAAGAAAGAACTGAATAGAAGTATAATATTATTGGTCAATCCACTAGCTGGACTGTCATGCAAATTTAATCTTCATCCTTCTTTAATGGGAGCAATATTTGTGTGCACCCGACCCAAAAAAAAATTTGATGGGATGAAGGTGAGAGAAAGAGAGAAAAGGTTGAGGAGAGAGAAGAGAGAATTTTTTTTTTGATCCAAGTGTCAATTTCTTAATGAAAAGATATGGTGATTCTGGAACATATTAAAAAATTTCCTTTATTGGGTGCTTCTGAACTTGATGTTAACACAGAACATTGTTAAATTTATTAAAACTTGAAGTACCCAAATCAGGTTCTCTGGGGCCAACAATAGGGAATCCTTTTTGTTATTTAGTGTTTGTTTGGATTGCATGAACTTTATTTTTTTTGCTGATAATTGGGTTTGCCTGATGTAATTTATATTATTTGGACAGTGTTTAATATACACTTTTGAACTAATAATATTTTTAAATGAGTTTTTGGTTTTGCAGACTATTAAAAAAATAAAATAAAATTAAGAGAGTTCCGTCATTGTTCCAAAAAAATAAAGTGTGTTTGTCATATACACCAAAACATAATAGCCAGAAAAACAATGTTTGAAAAACAGAACGTTGAGTGGTTAAACGGGATCCCCCATGCTCCAAGGGTAAACTAAACAAGACAAGCAATTAGTGTTGGAAAACTTATGATTTTTCTGTTTAGTGTACACGAAGATGTTCATGAATAACATTTCTTTTGGTATTGGCAATTTCATCAGGACCTTGATCTCAATTATAACTTGAATTTATGTCCTTTATCTCAATTATCAGTTTCTCACTCACCCAATTAACTGCATGACATGAGGTAAGCCAAGGTGGCAACAATAACCACATTGTAACTTCACAACTTTGATACTACGGATGCATCGAAAACTCGGTGCATCTTCCACTCATACTATGACACGTGTCTTATTTTATATTAAATCACTCTCTTGATTTTAAAATACATTATTTATTATTAATTTGACAAAAGTAAGACATGTGTCATAATATAAGTGAAAGATGCACCGAATTTACGGCACATCCGTATCACCAAAGAAATTTTCATATAAGGGTGCATCAAGAAACTTGATTAGATGAGACACTTTTCTTGATGGCCTTTTTGGTATTACATGCAAGTTAGACTCAAATCTTTGGCGTCAGAGATAAGTGTTCATCACTTATCTTAAAAAATAGTGGTCATCAGTCATCAATGACTTAATCTGTTGAACTGACAAGAATCTGCCAAGAGGGGGAAAAGATTAAATTTACTGAGCCTCAGCAAAATTACTTTATTATATTCAGTTCTCTGATCTTCAGAATTGGGTTTTCAAACTTTGGCATAAGCAACATTCCAAAAGGTTCTAGCTGGCAACCCGAGTCCCGTATATATCACATTATCACCAAAGCACATTGTTCCTTTCTGCATGTTTTTGTAGGATTTTAACATTTTCTACTGGTTTTATCATTTTCCTAGTTGGTTCTTTGAGGAATCGTGTGTCAGTTGATTGGAAGAGTGAAGTACCCTTTATATAAGTCACTGACAATATAAGCTGATAGGATATGCTCTTACATCTTGTGTTCATAAAATAATTCACATTCCGCCAATAACCTTAAAATATCCTACATTTTAATCAGTGAGGTTAATGTTGTAATATGCAGAGGTTGTGCATTCTTTTGTAGCGGTAGTGGTGATTTGATCAAGCCTCGGGAACTGTTGCTTATAAAATAAATCATCAATTTATCTTTACAGATTAAGATTTTGAAATAAATAATTCATGACACGGACGCATACACTATGAATATTGAATAAAACTGAGTGCAACCATTAATCAAACAGTTTTTTTTTTTTTTTTCTTTAAATGAATTTAGATTTTCTTTAACAAAAATATTTCCATTCTCCCCCCCCCCCCCCCCTTCTTTGAAGAGAAAAAGTTCAATAGTTTAGCGCATGTTAGCCCCATTTTTTTAATCGAAAAAATCAATTGTTTAAAATAGGATCTTAAAAAGTTATTAAATTTTAAAGGAAAAGCAGAATCAAAGCAAGAGATAATAGAACAAAAGACAACGTCATTTGGACATAGGAGGCTACATGCAAGGAAAAAAAAATAGAGATGACATTTTATATAACTTCTTACATAAAATAATTTTAAGTTGATGTCATTTTATTACCTTTGATTTAATTTTGATTGAACAATAATGAAATAATTGTAAAAAGTTGTAACAAAAAGGAGATTGAAAATATAACCTCTTTTAGTATTACAATTGATTCTTAGACTCTAAGTAGTTGTTGCAACAATTTTTTATTTTATTTTATAACCGGAGAGTATCCATATTCAACCTTCTCTAGTCACCTTATATTGAGCTTCTAAAAATTTGTTTGAGACAAGATTTGAACTCCTGACCCAAGCAAACCCTTAGAAAACCCTTAGAAGTTGTTGTCGCAACAATTTTAATATGCATAATAATGAATTACTAATTGACATTATTGGACAGCATTAAATTACATATTGACTCAATCTTTGACACATTAGATCTATGCACCTTTCTAATTATATATTTTTTTCTTTAACTTGTGACTTCTTCACTTATATCTAACTTATACTAAAAATTTTGGTATACCGATTATAATTATCTCTTTTAGATGAGTCGATCTTCAGGTATCTCCACAAGCTTTAACTTTTTGAGCTAACTATTAAATTAATTCTGAATCAGGACTTAATCACAATTAAAACTCCTTCGCTCTCTCTCCGTACAACACAAATTCCATATATCATTTCCATTATACAGATTGCTTTTGTTTTCTTCCTTTAAATTTTACAATGGCTTGCTGTTGGGTTTGCTCTTTTACTAAAGCCCAAATGGGTTATTAGTATGAGAAGAGCCCAAGGAACCTAGAGCCCAATGAGCTAGGGTTTCTTGGAACCCATATAAATAGTACCTCTTAAGTCATCAGCCTCTAAGGTCTTCTTTGTGAGAAAGAGGCAAGCTCATAATCTAATCAGTGCCCACACACTTCCCCTTCCTCCTCGAGAGATAGTTTGGAAGATCTGCCACAGTCCAGCTTCAAGGAGGTTGTTCGTGCTGCGGCACTGAGGTGAGCTGTTCGTGAAGAGGAATCCTACAAGGGAAGATTCTACACGAGACCTGCGCACCGAGAGGTAATTGTGAAACAAGGATGATTCGGTAAGCATACCAATGTACTAGGTCCTAAACCGCTTCCGCATAAATCTAAGATTTCCTTCAATTGGTATCAGAGCCTTGGCTGTACATTGGTATGTGAATCTAGTTTCACTATTCATGTAATTAGTTTTGCTTCTTGAAATGTGGCACCTAGGGTTCTAGGATTATGGTATGAATCTAGCATGTGTATTTTATAATTTATTTTCATAAAAGTTTAAATTTTAATCGGTAAAAATGCTTTAATCCATGGTTAGGGTCTCTTGTGTATTTCTCGATTTGTAACAAGGAGGCTAATCCCATATGATTAGGTTTCCTCCTTGCTGTTTTTGTTTATTTCTGGAATTTCTGTGTATTTTTTCAATATTTTGTAAAAGTTCAAGATCGAGAAATCATGAGGAAGATGCGCAGTCAGCACTGTCAGAGACTTTTCGAGTACTTCCCGATCTCAGAATAGGGCGATCTATATATGGTTGGAAAGAGAATGGAAATACGAACGCAACTATGGGTGGATCGCCGACATCAGAGCCTTAACGCGCCCCCACGCGCCTCCACAATCGGCTGAGAGTGGCCGCCACTCTCCGGCAAAGAAAGAGAGAGTGAAGGAGCGTCCGGCCACCTTTTTGGGTGGTTCCGGCGGCGGTACACTCGTCTCTACGTGGCGGTCCTTCCCTTGGAGTTTCAGCCTGATTTGACTTCGGGTGACGGCACGGCAGACCTGACGGCTAGGGTTCCTCTTTCGCGTCCTAGGGTTTCTCGCCAAAGGATTGGGTCTTTGGGCTTTTGGGCCCATGAAACCCTAAAGGGGCTTGAGACAGATACTATGGGCTAGGCAAAAGTCGAATTCCAAAGTTGTATTATTCAATTTAATTTAATTTTATTTTCTTTAAAATAGGAAGGCCATGGATTAAAGTAATTATGATTTATTATTTAATGCTTTTATTGATTGGTATAAATTATATGATTGATAACATGCTTTATTGCGATAACATGCCATATAGAATAGGTGGTGCCATATTGTTGCATAACTTGTATGATTGCATGAGCATAATAGCTATTATGTACTAGTATGATAGTTATTATGGGATTATTTTGATTTTAAATCATCCTAAGA